TTACCGCATAGGCCATTCACAAGAATAGATTACTGAAAGTACTACTTCCTGCTTTTTTTCGCAAGGCAAGCAGGACGGTGAGCATCTCGTTTGGAGCGTTATAAGCTTTCCGCCTATACACTCGGGTGCCCTTCTCAAACGAGAGAAGGATAGAATTTGGACTCAACGTCCATAGGCTAGTGAGTCCATAGTTGTTTCATCACAGTCTGTTCCCAAGAGCTCTGACAACGTTTCCACATCACATGCTACTAATGATTCTCGGCTTTAACTTTCCTCAGCTGATCCATTTTTCGCACCATCTTCGTGTGATAAAGCGTCAATTGGGAAGTTTTCCTCGGTTCCACAAAATATAGAGAAATGTGGAACAACATTCACGAAAGGGTAGGTCGTACTGGGACTGTTTTTTTTCAGGTGTGGGGCTGTGCAAATTCTAGGTCATCCTGTGCGCAACCTAGATTCTAGTGGTACTGAATCGACCGAGCAGTATGACTAAAGATAAGCTAGACAGGAAAATACTTGACCACCACATCAAAACCAGCGCTAGAATCGCATCATATCATCCCATTTCTGATTAGTGACAGATTAATGGTGATTTTCTGCTTTTTTTTCATGATCTGCCTGAGTAATATTTACAAAAACGATAAAAGAATCAATTATTGTTAAACCTTTGCATTTTTCACTCCATCCGTTCCAGCGATGAGAATATTCCTTGCGGCTAGATCTCGATGAATGATATTCTTCTGTCCCAAGTAACACTGAAAAATCGAATCGCTACTATTTCTTTTTGCTGCTTGAGGGATTAATGTAGTAAGAGAGAGGGTTACGATAAAAGAATAATAATCATAAACGTTGCATATAATTGTAGGCCACTCTATTGCACTCTAGTTGTACGAGAGGAGAGTACAAAATCTTGCCAGGCAAGCAAAGATACAGTAGTGCTCAAAAGTCTTCGGTAAAATAGTTCTTCAGCCGTACTTTTCAGTCGTAACTCCTTTCCTACTGGATCTAATCTTGCGAAATTTCTATATTTGGAGCGTGGGTGTATTGTAGATATTCACCGCTATTAACTTGCAATCTGATCATGTTCCAGATATTCCAAAGAGCATGAACTCAAAATCGACTGAAAATACAGATGATGGTCCTTCTAGAATCTCTTTTCTTTTTGTCATGTCTAAAGTGTACGAGCGGTAATGCCGAACACAATAGATGAGAAAGACGCGCATAAGGTGCAAATAAGTGCAAACGTCAACAACTTCACTTTTAGCAAAATCTGCTACCGCAACAAACACCTTGCTCTACCTGTGGATACTGCAGCTTCGCAGTCAAACAGTGTTGGGTTGGGTGAAATATGCTTTAGTCAAACATATCCAAATTTCGCTCAATTTGGTCTACTAAGAAAAAAGTTATAAACGAAAAAACGTCAAAGCATTTCACCGAAGACTTTTTAGCGCTACTGTATGTCAATGTGTAGGCAAAAGAGATAGGTTCGCTTACAATGAAGCTTCAGCGCAACTAGAAATTTAGGCACTATTTACCCTTCACTGCCCCACTTTGTCGAGAATGGGCTGGATTTCTATAGATTTTTTTTCAAGAAGATGAAACCGACTAGAAACTTGCCTAGAGGGTTTAGAACACGAATATCGCATCCACTCATCATGGAAATGCCTGGCGCCTGTGCCATAGGTGCCTGCGCCATTTGGCGCTGGGTCACTAAATTCCTGAAAACTTGCTCCCTGGGGTAGATTGATCCGTAGATGACGAGTGGATGCGATATTTGTGTTCCACGGGTCAAATTACCCCTCTAGGCAATTTCTAGTCGGCTTCATCTTCTTGAAAAAAATTCGATGGAAATCCAGCCCATTCTCGACAAAGCGGGGCAGTAAAGGGTATAAGTGCCGAAATTCATGTCAATTAAGGTGTCATGCCTACATGAATGCAGTTCATAAACTGCAAAACATAGAGCTTTCCTCCCTATAGTTAGAGTGCTCAGAAATGGGAGCAGTACCCTCTCAGTTGAAGGTTAGGCCTCCAGGACTCTTGAACATAACCCTTCTGGATCATCATTGGTATTTTGGGACCAGCCAACTATGCTCTAAACGATCTTAACATTTGAAAAAGCCTCTAACGGAAGAGCGGAATACAAAATGATGATGAATGAACTGTGTATGTTGAATTCGGGAAGGGAGTAGAGGCAATGACGATGTCGAATTCTAATGATAAAAGTGAATAAAGTACTTCGGAGAACAGGAATGATGTTGCCTTAAGGCTGAAATCGGAAATCGGAATCGAAATTGTAGGATTATATAGTATTTGTAATCTAGACTCAAAACAGTTGCCAAAGATCACTCTATCAAATCTGGCTACAAAGAATCACGTCAAAATTCCTGACATCAATGTATGTTTATCGAAGCGATCAGTAGCTCACCATTCCCTGAGCGATTTGCCATCCGAAGTTCAGGAACTCCTTAGTACATTCGATCTGCTCATCGATTGATTTACTCTACAGGAAACGAATCAGAAATTACTAGTGAGAAACTCGTTGCAAAAGAAACGCGTACAATCTCCAGTTCCGTTTTTCGTTGCTTCAGAAATCGAAGCAAATCCCGGTTGGCACAGTATTCCATCACAAGGCAGGACTTATTTACTGAGGTGATGCAGCCCAGCATGCTGACGATGTTGTCGTGAAATCCAAGATTTTTCATCTGAAAATATGTCTCTTCATGGGATACTGACGAGGCATACAGTAAGCTGGGGAGTACTGTGAAGCGAATTCCCAACAAACAGCGTTGCGTGCGAAGCGCTTTCAAAAAACTCTCGACACAGTAGTACTTTCTTGTTAATAGTGCCTTCGTCTGCTGTTGGTGTGAGATCTTCCAAATCTCTTTTATAACTGCCTCTCCCTCACGTTTCTCCATCCTCTCCCCCCTGACCACCGCCCGCTCGAAAGCAAGGCTTTCCAGAAAAAAGGCATCGGATATCATTGATAGGCTGATCAAAAAGGTAACAGTAGTGCAGCAACAACGAGTTTTAAAAGGTACAGAGGTATGTGACTATGTAAACCTCCAGATTCTTTTAGTAGGAGTTCGGACAGCTGCAGGCTAAGCATGATTAAAGCGTTACTTCCAGTTGGGCAGGAAAGCCCAGAAACATTCACGGAAAAGCTGATAAATGAAACTTCGCCTACCAGCTCGATCTCGTGCATGAATTCCGATCTGGCGCTGTCGGACGCGTACTTGGGTAGCATTTTCACTGCACAATCACAGTCAGAAAACTGGGCTATCTCATTCTTGTGATGCCGTAGTATTCCCGGTGACGGACCAATAAGCTTTCCTGAAGACACCTTTTTTCCAAGAAGAAAGCAGGTAATGAGAAATTAGACTTCTCATAAATACACTTGGAGATAATGTACATCAGAGCTCTTCTACAGAATGAATTTACCTTTGTAGACTTGACCATAGGCTCCGTGACCTAACTGCTCGTTCTTGATGACGACCTGTTCCGGCGAAAGCTCCCAGTAGTCGATCCTGTAACGGGCGTTTCATCTTTGTCAATGCCCCAAAATGTCCCATCGTTCTACGCCTTTACCATTATTGTGATGAAGACAGTCAATTTTTAACCGCAGTAAAGGGAATATCTACGTCAAGGTGAAGGTCATATTGACAATTACTCGGGCCACGTCCCGAGAAGGGTGCGATGGTTTTTTTGGAAACGGTGATAGAGCAGTTCCATTTCCATGTCGAATGGTCGCGTTATATGTATCGTGTGGTGGGAAATAACATCTGTTCACTAGTAGTTTTCTAGTCTCATATAGCAACCTGCATTCAGGATAGCCATATGTAACAATGGAGTCTTTACCGTGCTCAAGAAAGCTACCATAAATGAGTTTTCTAGCTGCCTTTGACATGATTGGGGGATAGCTAATCGTGTTCAGAGAGGCAAGGAACGCTCGTCCTACTCTATTCCCCAGTAGTTCTGTATTCTTCTTGTAATGTAGAGTATCAAGACGGAATTGACTTGAGCGCAACGCTACAATCTAATGGCTCGCACAGGAACTCACATTTCATCGTCCTCCATTTCCTGGTCGCCATAGTGGTGCGATCGGAATCGATTGAGCTTCTCCAGCCACATATATTTTTGACGGAAGAGAACGGTCGCGATAATGAGGATCAGCACTGCTCCAGCGCATGTACCAATAATGATGAACATGATAGTTGGAACTGAGGTCTCTAAACATACTCACTTGATAAAGCTTTGGGGAATCCGCTGTCGAGGATGGAGATTTCAACGTAGAAAAACATTAAGTTTCAGGATGTCGCTCACACTCGACTTTTATTTTGAATCGTTATGATACACTATCCGCATTATTTATTTGTTTATGTACACGGACTCGCGTTACAAGCCCGATGTACAAAACAATGCTTTTTTCTTGCAAACGAATGGGGCACCGGTTTCAATAGAAATACTTGAAATACAAAGTTTGGAACGGGCAGTAATCTGGAACCTGATGTCGGGGCTTGATATCAACCCATTTCCATCTCATCAAAAATTACACTTACTCACGAATTCAACTTCGTACAGATTCTCAAAGGCTTTGACGATATCCTGTTGGAATTAACGATAGCAATAGATAACTAACTCTTTGTAGGACAGAGGGTGACCATGTTTTTCGAGCTGTCACCATAATTTGGATCGGAGACGATGTGACTTCGGGGGATCGACGTCTGGTTTTGGTAGACTTCGGCGGCTAACTGAAATGTCTTTTGGTTGCTTAGCTTACAACTAAAGCGTTTTATTTCATTTCGGGCTTAGGCTACAACAAATACTCGTCGGCAGAGCACTAGCTTATTCAGTTGTAAGGTTTTCTGCTGCAGAATAAGCTGTACAGTTGCGTAGGTAGGTGACCTAAATCACGCTACAATGAAGCATCGTNGTTGCTTAGCTTACAACTAAAGCGTTTTATTTCATTTCGGGCTTAGGCTACAACAAATACCCGTCGGGAGAGCACTAGTTTATTCAGTTGTTAGGTTTTCTGCTGCAGAATAAGCTGTACAGTTGCGTAGGTAGGTGACCTAAATCACGCTACAATGAAGCATCGTGTGTGAGTAGCAGCCATAGCTATATCGTTAACAGCATTGAATGGTGCTTCTGAGTGCCAACCAACCGTGAGCTCCAAAATTTACCGATTTTAGAAGAAAGGCGACCCCCTGAGTACACAGTCGAGTTGATCACAGGTAGAATCCAAGTTTTGCAAACGTTATTATTGAACAAACTGTCTCTAAAAATCAACAGATGAACTCACCTCATTGAAGGCGATAATTTCGAAATAGTACGGTTGCAACTTCTTGGGAAGGACTCCAAATCGGTCGTTGTAAGCATAGACAAAGTTCTAAAAACGCTTTCTCTGTTGGGCGTATTTCCGGGCCACATTATATACAGGGTGCCCCAAAATTATGGGCGCCAATTCATGGCAATGTATTTGAAGCTTCTAAGCTGAGAATGGCAATGTAATCTGTATACTCGTTTGCTTATATCATGTGCTACAACATGCTACAGTCACATTTCAAAATATACCCAATGAGCGTGGATACAAGCTCAAAGTTTGCTCTCGAACACCTCGTACGTTGCACGCAGGTATCCTATTCATTTCTGCCCAGCCTTTTCAGAGTCCTGCTTTCTAGGACTCCAAACTGGGACTGGAACTTTACGGATCCTCTTCTAACGCGTGATAATACGAAGAAGTCAAGTGAGTTAAAATCTGGAAAGCAGGATGGCAATCATCCTACGCTAATGGAAGCGGGCCGCTAACGTCGACACCACTCCCGTGNTTTTTTTTTGCCCTACACTGTCTCTTGAGACTGGAAATGAAGTGGGATTTATGCAAACGGTAGGAATGGCAATGGAGCTTCTGTATGACATTCTTCCTTCGCGGTATCTCGGATAAGCCCTGCCTCATGGACGATAACGACCGACTGGCAGACGAACCATTTTGATAGTTCTATCTTAGAAACATCGGTTTTTCTATCTTCCCTGGTTTGTCTCTGATTCAAGCTTTTTTTTCTATATTGCTTAATAGCCTCCTGTACGGTTATTACAAAAATCCCAAGGGATTTCATAATGCCCTCCCACCTCTCGCGTGCCGTGATTGCAAGTAGCATTGAATGAACTTCCTTCATCTAAAAGATATTGTGAGTTCCACATCAGTAACCACGCATATCGCAAGGAAACCTTCATGTGCAACTAATTAATAGCAGGTAACGTGAATTTAATAGATTATTTTTACCTTAGAAGTTTTTGAATGATGGCGCACATAATTTTGGATTACCCAAGTATTGAGTAATACATCAAGCAATTTATTTCTCTATTATTCAATTACAGCTTCAGTTGTTGATCCTTCTCTCTCGTTATACTGACCGTATGAGTAGATGTTCTTAGCCGGAAAAAGATTTGAGGGGGTCAAGCGGGCTCACCAGAAAGTGTGCTGCGCACCCCTTTCCTTAAGGGGAGATTTTGGTTCACCCGTTTGGTTAGATGTACGTGTGTGTACTTTCTTATCGCTTGAACTTGAAATCACTTATTTCTGTTCCTTCGCATGCCTGTGGCCTGTGATCTCCGTTCCACCCTAATTCCTACCCAGAATACGATCACCGTTGCCGTAAATCATAATGGTTCTTGCATAGTATAAACCAAGATGTCAACTCGAAATCTACGAAATCAGCTTTAGCTCGTTCAGTGTTCGCATAAGTCGTCGAGTGCCGTCGAGCGCTCTGTTTCTCTTCCAGAAATGGAACCTCGCGTGCCTGCTGTCGAACGTAGAGAAGCAGGTAGTCTGACAAGGAAGGTCTTTCAGGGCGTGGGGCGCTTCTTAAAATGGTTTTTGCGTGGTATAGGGGCATGAGCACTGAGTATAGAGCTATGGACCATTTCCGCTAAATGGCCTTCTGAATGCCAAAAAAAAGGAGTGAAAATGATTTTGCCAGAAATTGCCGTTTAAACCCACTAAGCGTCGCTTGTTTCATTCATGGCGTCGACTGTCCGCTCAGTAGAAGGTGCCAGTGGACTGCGCATTGAAAATAACGTGAACAGTAGCCAAAAAGGGAGCCACATGTTGAAAAGTGCGGGGAAGTTTCATATGTGCTCTCCACGGTTGAGCTGCTGGCAGCGACGGATGGTG